ATCTATCCTGTTCATAACCATGAATCCAAACGTGATGTTACCTTACAGACATCAGATATATACGCATGTGTATGAATCCTGCATCTGATTCGTTGAGCCTCCTATCCTTCTAGCTACATGTGAAGCAACGGTAACGTGTATACATGTATGACATTTACGGAGTGTGTGGGGATACAACTGATGTCTTCCAACAACCCAGCTGTTTATTTTATTGGTAGCCTAGTGGTTAAAGCGTTGGCTCGTCACGCCGAAGATCCCGGTTTGATTCCCCACATGGACACAATGTGTGAAGCCCATTTCTGGTGTCCCCCGCTATGATATTGCTGGAATATTGCTAACAGCGGCGTTAAACTAAACTCAGTCAGTCAGTCAGTGTATTGTGTAAAAAGGATTATTGATTGTGTCTAAAAGCTATGTGCTGCTCAACAGCCGTCTCTAAGGATGACACTACCCACGGTGGGAAAAATACGAAGCCTACTGCTGTATTTCAGCTGCAGTCTCAGCTCTTTCACAATCGCAAATCGCCGTTGTTTATACCTGTGTATGTCCAGATGTTTAGCTACTAATTTTTGTGTCATTTCCAGCTGAAATGGAGCACGAGAAGTGGGGTTCCCACGTGGATTACATGATGACACTTCTTGGCTACACAATTGGAGTGGGAAGCATGTGGAAGTTTCCATACATGTGTATGAGAAACGGAGGAGGTTTGTATAGATCTAGAACCAGGTCAAGCAATGGGAAGGGACTACTGTCTGCTTTTACGATATGTTACATCTTGATCTTACATATGTTTGTCGATATTCATGTAAGTATCTTTGCTGATTCATATTCGTATTTGAAAAGGATTATTCCATGAGAAGATCGCTCTTTTTGGTGCCTATGAATGGTCCCAGTATGGTAGCAGAAATCATTATTAAAACGGACTTAATAAATTTCGAGAAAATAATCGAAGTAACACGTGAAAACTCATTATTTCGAATTTATAAAAGTATATAAAACACTTTATGTGACGACAATTATATTGAAATAACGGGGAATAAATTCAGGTAACCAGAGAAAACGTCAACATGTCAGTTATTGAAATGTACACTGTACTTGAAATACCGCTAAGAAGAAACCGTGTAACTTAGAGAGTATAACTGAAATACGGAAAATACAATTGCAACAAGGACACATTCGAAATTTCGAGTTTTGAAAATAATCCTGAAATAACGAGAAAGTTGAAATTAAGAAGATATAAGCAAAGTAAAAACATAATCAAAGAAATATTGTATCAAAAGAGAATGGAAATGTAAACAATTCAAATGCCGAAAAATGTTGGTTTAGAAAATATATTTAATATAAAAATATAATGTGCTCCAAAAGTGGCACCATTAGGCTTTTGTATTTATCAACATTTTTGTAAAAAATCTCAAATGGCCATAATCATCAGTATTCATGGTTAACGACAACTGTGCTTTTATTTTCTTCTTTTCACTTTCAGTTGGAATATTTGGTATTTCAAGTAGAAAACAGTAGATCTGGAAGGCCAGCTTGAATACCTGATGGATATCTTTTGACTGATTTGGGTTGCCACCATGGCATCATTCCTCTAGGCACCGTCCCCACTAGCCCCATGTTGTTACAAGCCACTACTTAGCTAATCAGTTGTGTACTTCACTTCCTGTAACTGGATTAACTGCTACTAAGCTCGTTCGGGTAGGTGTTGGTTGTGAATCCAGCCAAGTACAGCTTTTGCAACTTTTCTTTGTGAAAGAAATCTTGATTCATACCTGAGTCGTGATTCTCTATTATCTAGAACAAGTACTGGTACCTAACGAGCACCGACACCTGACCTAACGAGTTAATTAATAGTAGCAGTTACTCCAGTTACAGGGGAGTGAGTACAGCCAACAGAACAGCCACACGAGGGGCTAGAGGGATTAATCTGTAGCTTGTAAGAAAAGGGGGCTAGTGGGACGGGGGCTAGATGGGTGGAGTCGCCACCTTGTGTCCCATTTAGGCCTGTCAGTTTGTTTTACATTTCGCTGGATATGTATTGCTTACATCCAAGCTTGTGATACATTTAGCTGGAAATGTATTGCTCTGGTTGCATTTTGTTAATTATATACTCACATCTTGAAGGCGCATTCCTGATACCGCTGACTGTTTTCTTGATCATCGGCTCAGTCCCCTGTGTGTTTCTGGAGACTGTGATAGGTCAGTTCTCTCAGAGCGGACCAATCAATGTATGGAAACTGTGCCCACCGTTTAAAGGTAAAACTATACATACGTTTAGTTAATTTATCACCTGTGTAAAATTAAAAGATAAGACATTTTAGATATATAAGGGCGTCCCCATGGCCGCCAAATGTTCACCGCTTCTCGGTTTTCTTTGTGCGTACGATTCGTAATATCTGCCTGAATTGCAAAATATAGGGATTTGATACGGAGGTCTAATTCATACTCCAAGTATTTCCGTGATCAAATACCCAAGTCCCTTCCAATAATTTCCTATCCCGCATTTGCAATATAAGAAACCTTTGAAACCGAACCATTATTTCATGTTTAGATCGATACATTAATGTTCACATGGCACAAAACGATGGTTCCCGTGAAAATATGTGACACGCTTGTTCATTATTTAACATATTACCAGAGCCATCCATTGCATACTCTGAGCTTAAAAACGTAGAGCATTTTGAATACAGTTTTAGATTGTGTACTCGGTCCTCACTAGAAAAAACTGTTCACGATAACTAAACTTGAATTGTTTGGTCAGTATATCATCCCAGATTTCCAAAGACTTATTCCCTGTTACAAAAGAAACACTGATGTAACAAGCTCACAACTGTATCTGGCACAGGTGTGACATGGCATATGTACTGGTAAATAGCGCACCATCTTAAGAATATTTATACGGGATTTCACGCACAACACTTATTTCTTGGACTGTAATTGTTCGTTGTGGAACATTGATACTTTGAACTAGGTTTATCGGATACTATGCCATATTCTTGTCCAGCTCCGATTCACTCGCATTGAGATGTTATACATCTTTACTATATAATATTTAATCTGAAACTTTCTTCACCCTTCAAAGGCTACAGTGCATGTGTGTAGTTAATGTATCATCAATGTGGGGATGGGAATTTCAGGGTATATCAAGGATGTCACACACAATGACTAATGGCTTATTCCGGTAAATCAATTTACCTCGATGAACTGGAAATAAAGGCACGTGTCTCTTCTAAAATTCCATTTTTCAACTTTTGAGGTACAATGAAGCCTGATTTTTTGGCAAGACATGTCCGTAGGATATGCCTGAAATACTGTTAGGAGACTTTTAATTTTGACGCACTAACTCATGTGTATTTGAAGAATACATGCCCTTGTGTATTGCTCTGACTACCATCTGTGTTATCCAGGTATGGGAATAGGGGGCGTCCTCATCAGCATATTCTACAGCACCTACTATTCTGCTCTGTTTGCCTGGTTAATCTACTACTTCTACCACTCCTTCTTTCCCAATATTCCCTGGATTACCTGTGACAACATATGGAACACGCCATCGTGTATATCGTACACCAATGTCGTCGATGACGCAGCTGCCAACGCCACAAATGATTCAATTGCCAATGCAGCGATGTTCATTCACAACTCTTCTGCCGTGGCTAATAGGACCATCCATTTGACGGGAATGACAGCAGCTGAAGAATTCTGGAAGTAAGATGGTATGCTTCGTCCTTCATTCACGATGTGTGTTCTGGACACCATGTGGAAGACGTGCTTAATACCAATTTCATTGTCCCATTGTCAATGGGGAATTCGGAAACGTCTCTACGGAATTGTGAGGGGGCATTCTTTTTAAGTGAGTGAGTGAGTAGTTGAGTTTTACGCCGCACTCAGCAATTATTCCAGCTATATAGCGGTGGTCTGAAAATAATCGAGTCTTGACCAAACAATCCAGTGATCAACAGCACGAACATCGATCTGCGCAATTGGGAACCGATGACATGTGTCAACCAAGTCAGCGAGCCTGACCACCCGATCTTGTTAGTCGCCTCTTACGACAAGCATAGTCGCCTTTCGTGGCAAGCATGGGTTGCTGAAGACCTGTTCTACCCCGGATCTTCACGGGTCTATAAGAGAAGTATTTTTATAAAGTTTTCATGAACGTACATAAGACCGATACAGTATTCGTCAACATTTTGTTTGGGCATTAAGCGCACCGTTGATACTGAAATGATGTTAAACAGTTACTTCATGTTCATATTAAATGATCTTTTTTAGTATACTTGTTTCATACTGATATATAAATTTATGATCAATGTAAATCAAATGGCACTGCTGTGAATCGTCTACTTCTCGTCATACATGTAAGATGTAAGATCGTAATATTTTGAAAAAGTTCTGAAAATTACACAGTGGTTGGGAAGCAGATAGACAAAATTCCGAGGAACACATCACTGACTGAGTGGACCCTTAGCTAAGTTCTCTTTGCGCTATATTTGTTCTGGTGGAGGATCTAGAAAGGTTGTTCTCTAACGTTGTCATTTTGTTATCAGTTACGCAAATAAGCGTGTATATAAATGCATATATGAAATAAATAGATATAACCAAACCCATTGACAAATGCAAACTGTTATGGTATGTTATTGAATCTTATTATTTCATGTATATGTTACTCCTTTATGTTCAACCAGAGTGATAGAATGCCATTTTCAGACTTTAGGAAACTGAAGTTGAGGAATCAATCAAAAGTCACAATGATCCTAATTTTGCCATTATCACAGCACTTAAATAATGAACCTCAGTGCTTTCTTGTGAGTTCAAAGCACACAGTGCATGTATAGTAATTGTTCATTACTGCTCGTTCTATCTCTGAGTCACATCTCAAATATCGCCAAATAACTCTCAGAGTACATTACCTCTGTTTTCAACAGGTTAAAGGTCTTACAGATTAGCGACGGTCTGGAAGATCTCGGTAGTATACGGTGGCCCCTAGTTGGTTGTCTTTATCACATACATCCTGGCGTTCGTATGTCTATTCCAAGGGATAAAGGTTTCAGGCAAGGTAAAGAAAGGCAGTTATTTATTGCGCTATGAATTGTTAAACGAGGTCTTTGACGTTTGGGACACCTTCAGTGATCATGATCCAGCATACATGTGCTCCTATTATCAACTTCAGTTTTATCATGTGTTTCTATGGCAACAGGTGGTGTACGTTACCGTGGGCGTTCCTTACATCCTTATTGCTGTCTTCCTCATCAGGGGCTGTCTACTTCCGGGTTCTGCTGACGGCATATATTTCTTCATTTATCCACATTTTGAGAGGCTGTTGGATCCAAAGGTGAAGATAAAGACATTAAAGGAGACCTGCTCCACACTATCGACCTGCTATGAAATATACAGTCGAAGATCAAAGTAAAACTATGACAGTTAAGGTTTGACAACTGAGGCCACTTTGTGTTAAGCTGACAAGATCCATACAAAGAGAGATATGTTGCTGGATTCATTCACTGTCTCAAACATTACTATCAGTATCAAACAAGGACACCAATACTATTCACAGGTTTTTGAGACTATTGGATTTAATACAAAATGGATTCTCAAAGTACGTCCGTGTATATTTACAATTCCAGAAAGTAACCATTTGCTTTTTTAAATTTGTACTTAACCTTCCCATATAAGAGGCTATCTTCAGAGGTTGTGTGCAATGCATGACGGTTGGATATCAACTGACGTTGAATGAGAAGACATTACGTGAAGTGCTCAGTGATACGATTGAGAGCAAAACATTTAGACAAGAAGTAAGCTTCTACAACTGTGTTCCCCTCCTTGCAGTTTCTTTATGCATATGAATCTCAGCTCGAGCTGACAAATCAAAACCAGGTAATTTGAGCAAAAAGTTTAGCTTAAGGGATAGTGCGGCGGTGGGGTAGCCTAGTGGTTAAAGCGTTGGCTCGTCACGCCGAAGACCCGGGTTCGAATCCCCACATGGGTACAATGTGTGAAGCCATTTCTGGTGTTCCCCGCCGTGATGTTGCTGGAATATTGCTAAAAGCGGCGTAAAACCAAACTCAGTCAGTCAGTCAGTTAAAGGATAGTGGTGATCTGTTATTTTTCATCAACCATCAAATACCCAATGCTTATCCACTAATATACGCACCTGAACTTACAATAGTGAGACCCATTCATGTGTTTGATATTAAAGTCTATGCATAGACATTTAGAGTAACAGAAAATAATCACAAGACTGTATGGCAAGAGGGATGATTTCAAATTTCCAGCCTTCAATTTTATCTTCATGTCGAGCAATATTCAAACAGCTCAAACGTTTGGTGTTTACATTTAATAATTTTGAGTTGCAGTCGAGCCTCTTCTTTTTCCCACGATTGCAATGAACGTTATGCAAATTCGGCAAGGAGTTGCATGATTAATATCTCAGTATAGGAGAACCTATATATTACTCAGTGACAAAATCGAAAGTGTTTTCAGCGGTACCGCCGACGGGACAGGATAGGCTCTCCTTCCTATGGATTCCTAAACACATACGATACAGTGAGATTTGGCTTTGCGGACTGCCGACAGCATAAAATCATCAGAACTTAAATGTTCAAGGATAAAATGCATTACTTATAATTCTTTCACTGTATGACGTTGTGTTGTAAAGGAAACTATCCACGAAAGGAATACATACTGATAATGCATAATCTTCAACTGAAGAAGAACTTTTCGTTTTTGTCTGGTAAATTCAGTTGTCATCAATACTCATCTCCATTTGCAGATTTGGATTGAGGCCTCTAATTTTGCCCTGCTTACAGTCGGAATTGCGTTTGGGTGTCTTCCAACTATGGCAGGACACAACAAATTCAACAATAATTGCTTCAGGTAGACATTGTGTTTAACGTTAATTTCATAGATGTATTAAAGACGTTTATGATAATGTGAAAATTGTGTCATATATATAACATGGCATATCACATGCAATATTTAAATGTAATGCGTTTCTTCTAGGGACGCTGTGACTTTAGTGGCGGCTGTTGCTTTGACATCCGTATATATTGGTTTTGCCTTCTTCGCTATCATGGGTCACGTTGCCTACCAACGTGGTGTGACTGTGGAGGCATTTCAGTCATCAGGTATTGATTATTTCTTGGCCATTTATAATCTGCGATGAAACCTGAGGAAATGATGCAAATCTAGCAAGGGTGCATGCAGGTGGCAAGAGTACCACTGGTCCCTGGCATGAAATCGACAGTCAATTGCTGGTAATCTAGAGATGTGTTTAATATTTAGGAGATAAACCTAGTGTGTTTGAAAATCAGAGACATGTTTTACTGAATTGATGGCGACTAAATTTCAATTGGAACCGAACGCGTAGCGTGAGGTTTCAATTGAAATATTTAGTCGCCATCAATTCAGTAAAGCATGTCTCTGATTTTCAAACACACTAGGGTTATCTCCATTCTACCATGACCCATTTAAAATCGAACTTCCTCCCTCTCCGGAAGACACTGCGTAATCCGGCATGGGACGAGAGGCGAATTGAAGACGTCTGTGAAGGGAGCGGTAGGTGCCGTTCGTATTTTTTTAACATTACAACATAACAATATTCTGTCAAAAAAAGAAATCAAACTACTGTTTATTCAATGCAATTATGTAATACCCGAGATCTTGTTTTTTTCCATCCCAACTCCACACGATTAAAACCAGCCTATTGTTTTGTGTGCCGTGAAACTGTACACACACACCACCCCACCCCGCCCACCCCTGGCCACACTATAATGGAATCGTCTGACCTACTTATTTTCTCTGAAGTAGACAGTTACGCAACAGTTTGAAATGGCGGACGAGCCAGTGTTTACATTTTGCGAAAGGTTAAAATTTGAAGTGACAGTGGACAATACTTGACTGACTGTTGACTCTGAACCCTGCAGAATCGAAGAATAGATATTTTCCTGATCAACCTACGACCTGTAACTCATCAAAGACTGTTGATTTTTATGACCGGCCGATCATGATTTCACGTACCTGCCTCCACCCCGGCCTGCGACAAAAGGGTGACAGTACTGCTGCTTAGTGTACATGCAACTAACTTGTGATTCCTTGGAACTTTGTTTTCATCGTTTGGGACTGGACTGTGTCCAAGCGTTTTTCAAAGTAGAACAACATAACAGTGACAACCTTGCGGGGAAGCTGGCAGAGAGCAGAATTATTTTGTGAACGATGCAACGGGATATGATGGAGTATGACTATGAGTGGCATAAATGTGGTGTTTCGCCAGACCGTTAGATCTATCTTGCAAATTTCCCATTCTAAACGGAATTAAATATACCATTTACCAGGTAGGTAAATGTTTACTAATGTTTTGCTGCATATTTTGTATAGATAGGGATGTATTTTTACAAGGCTTTCTGATTTATATGTTAGATATTGTTTTGTTTATGTTTGGGGCTGTGTATTGTAATTGAGTTTGAATATTTTTATAATAGAAGGTAATATGATAGTGAGATTCCCTCATAATTGGGTGGGGGAAATCATATAATTGTATTTTTCGAGTTTAAATAAATGTTTTGTCAGCATTTCCATCACGTCTGTTGTGTTGATATTAGTCATGTTGGTGGTCAAGCTGAAGTAGTGCGGCAGTGTTCTATTCGTGCGCAGTGAAGCGCAATGCAATCAAACGCATTTTTAATCCAAAACTTTTCCAATTGCCTATGTCGAAAATTCGATAGTCAGCGTCAAAATCCATGGAGTTGTTGTTATGATCCGCCATCATTGTGGTCAAAAGGAAGTAGTTCTCACAATAAGATTTGTTAATGCGCGGTGAAGCGGCCTTACAATCAGATGAGCGTCAATCCACAATAGATGCCGTCTGATTTTTGTGAACAACAAATTAGAATCTTGTATTTTCTCGATTCAGGGTAGAATGTTTTGTACTGAATAGTGATATACTACACACAAAAAAAGGGAACACCCTAAAATTTGATAGTCGTATATATACTGAAACGTGGTGAGGTCCTTTATACTCTAAGGTAAATGCAACATTTTGTGTGCTTAATAGGCACTTTCAACGACATGTTGGGGCAGTCTGTCTTCCACGTGCACTAGGCTGTTGTGTTTGGGCGTTTGAATCAAACATGGTGCTGGTGTGTTTCAGAACCCTTGTTTTTCGCTGTTTTCAACAATGTTTCATTTCACTCAAACTCAACGAATATTGAATCAGTTGCTTCACTGCATTTTCCAACATGTCGTTTAAAGTGCCAATTAAGCACACAAAAAGTTGCATTTACCTTAGAGTATAAATGACCTCACCACGTTTCAGTTTATATACGACTATCAAATTTTAGGGTGTTCCCTTATTTATTGTTTGTAGTATATATAATTTTGAAGTCACATGCTCGTCTTAAATCTCTGTGATAATCTGGTTGTTTTATTGTCATTTGCTGACAGATTGTTCAATGGCAATATATCTATTATAAGACAGTCACTTATTTAAGGCACGATATGGCTGAAATATTGCCGATGTGACTCTAAATCTTAACTTACGCACTATAATCGTCTTTGACATTTGAACACAGATACCGTGTGAGGTATCGATATATCATTTAAAATTGTCTTTTCACTCAAAAAGATCATGGCGGATAGCTGAATCATTGCTGATGCGGCGTTAATTAATATTCACTCTCTCGCTCTCTCACTCACTCATTCAAAAAGAAAACATTGATCTATCAACAACCGACACCTTATTGCATATCGGAGGGGATTTTGGCAATCACGAATAATGTTCTTTAGCAACGAACACCAATTACGCACATCAAAGGTCACGCCTTGGAAAGAATATTATTTGTGCCCATAGGCGTCTGACTCTGATATATTTATTAGTATGACCCATATATGTAAGATATACTGATATATATATATATATATATAGGTTATCCATATAAATATATCAGAGTCGGGTGCCTATGTTTGTATCTAATCGGCATTCTTCTTTGGATTGTTCTTATAGTTAACGTTGTTTCATAAATGATATTGACATGCAGTGAGTTGTAAGTGAGACAGTATCCGTCAAGCTTGCACGGTAGTCGTCTGTGGTTTCATGCCAATGTCCTAGATTTTGATGTTTAAAATCGTTTAATTGTTTCAAGGATACAACCTTGGATTCATCACTTACCCAGAAGCCCTCGGTTCACTCCCCTTGCCTCAGATGTGGTCTGCCTTGTCCTTCTTGACGTTGATAACACTCGGAATAGACTCTCTGGTAATGAATCATATTTTAAGTTTGACGAGAGCCCCTTTCGACCCAAGAAATCAGCATGGTCCACGAAATGAGCAAATACTTACCAATAGTATGAACCTCTTTAGATGGGGACATAGTCATATCATATTTGAGTTTGTATGGTAAATGTGTTGAAATGCTGAATTTAAAAGATCACTGAAGCGTTTTTGAAATTCCTAAATTTTACCTTTGTACCTGTTGATCAATCAGTACATAGGTACAGGGGAATGTAAGCATGGATCACAGACATTTTTGCATAAATGACTGTCTATTTACAATTGTCAAACCATGCCTATTCATATACATTATTATTTGGCTGGTCATACTAGACGTTCAAGACCTTGCGTGTGTAAGTAAATTTGGTAATTGTCAGGCATTTAATCAAGGCTGACGGTTCTCAAACAAATGTGTCTTAAACCTTTATCAACATTCACATTTGAAATTGTATGGTAATAACATTAATCGCAAAGGAATTACACGCCTGGGAAGAGAATCTCCAATGAAAATCAAAAGTGTAGGTAGTTACTTCTTCTTTACAACTTGATCTGAAGGAATCGTTACGAATATTGTTCTCCGTCTGCTGTCAAAATTTCATATAGTATATGAATACGTCAGATCCTACACGTTGATATGTTGGTCTGACTAAAACGTGGTTGACATGCTGAATCCCGTTTCTATTCAGTTACCATGTTTTGAGATCGCAATAACAGCATTGTCAGATCAGTTTCCAAGCCTGTCTCGCCAACGTTGGGTTATCATCCTCATGGTCCTGGTGCCATGTTTCCTCCTTGGTCTACTCTACATGACACAGGTGAATATATAACGTCTTAACTATACCCAAAAACTATCCCAAAATACTATGTAGCGTCCAAATCCCTAATACACTTGGCATTAAAGCAAACGCAGTTGGGTGGGAAAAAAAGTAACGTACAATAGGTTTGGTTAGGTTCGTTGTTTTACGCCGCATTCAGCAATTTACAGCTATGTGGCGGCGGTCTGTAAATAATCATGTCTGCAACAAACAACCCAGTGATCAAGAGCATGAGCATCAATCTACGTAACTGGGATACGATGACATGTGTCAACCAAGTGAGCGAACCTTACCAGCACGGGATGCTGAAGATAATTCTACCCCGGATCTTCACGGGTACGTACATGAGGGAGTAGAGACAGAGGATGCAAAAAATCATAAGGAATAACATCAGATTTTCATCCATACCCAAGCTATATGTACGTAAATGTTTCGGGTAAAATACCAGTATCTAACACATACACATGTACAAGTTGTTACATCTCCATGAGAAGGGAAAGATGCATTTATTAACATGAATTATTAACAAAGTCATACGCCATTGGTGAAGAAGTCACATGGGACAAGAAAAGTATTTAACCAAAGCATGAACTTAGGTAGGTTCCCTGTCAACTTCTAGTGTCCACAAATGTTTGACTGGACCGAATTGGGATTCAGATTTGGGTATTCCGCAATTATTCAGCAAGAGCCTTTACCAATTACTGACTGCTGATTGGTAGGAGCGGATTTGAGTAAGCCCATTACAAAGGTTCAAATGAGTGTTTATCAGGTGAGCATAGTGAATTCCCTCAGGTTGTCTGTCATAATGCCTTTCAGTTAAACGTGTCTCTATAATGTCGAATCGGTTTTATGACAGGGAGGAATGTACATGCTTACACTGGTGGACTGGTATGCGTTTTTCCCGTCAATAGCAGTTTTTGGCATGTTGGAATGCATTGTTGTCAGTTGGATCTATGGTAAGTATCTTGTTCCAGATTAGGAACATACCAAAACCGAAATGAAACATAATATACCCATACTAACTATAAACGACAAAATTCATTCCTGTCCCTGGGTCAAAGAATGAGCGACGCCACGGTGCCTCTTACAACAAGCATGATCTTACAGTATTTTGAACACATTTGTAATTGGTTTTGTGTCTACATTACCACCCTTTTTCAGTTTTGGTGTTCACACGACCTCTTCGACAATTGAGACCCCATGCCAGTGTAAATATTTCTTGTTCTAACCAGTGTCTCTCTTACGCAAAAACTTGGCATTAAAATTCAGATCGTGGTCAATGTTAGTGTCCTTGCAACCTCAGTGATAAACGTACTTGAGGCACCGTGCATTGTATGTTTGTATTAGGAACACATAGGGTGGAGAAGGTCGTCAACTCGATGTGGGGGAAGACAGTTCCAAGAGTCATGACCTTCAGTCTGAAATTCATCAGCCCAGGACTTCTTTTGGTAAGTGACATTGATCTATGCTGGAAGATAGCGACCAGTCATGTGCCATATCCATTCTCATATGAAGATGGCAGTGTTGGTTCATGGCAGTAGTTTACACGTATAAACGGTGTACGGTTGTGGTGTACTTAGGCCAAGTCTTAAATACAACATTGCAGTCTACCAACAATCCTATGTTGGTATACATATGAAAGTCACGCTGCGCCAGCTGACGATAATGCGACATACAGATAAAGTGACGGTGGTGACAGTTTGTATTGCGGAAATAGTACTGTATAATAGGTATCTCTTCAGAAGGTGACAGTGATGTATTGAAGACAATCGTGCAGCACCTGTTTGGGTAGTATTCATATTATACTAAGGCATGTCGGTTGGATCTAGGATGAAAGGGCAATGTGACTAAGATCTTAGATGTGTACTAACTGTGTGAAATACAGGTGTACGGGTGTGCTGTTGGCATATCTGGAAACATAATTACGCCAAAGGATTCGAACGCACAATTATAGGTTTCTGGAGTGTCCAAGAGACGTGACTTTTCTTTCCATTTAATTTCTGACTCCCTGTCTGATATACGTCATCTATATTTGGAAACTGTATATGCATACAAGGTGTTTCTAAACTACACTGGTTGGGTTGCATATGATTCTCTAATCTGGTACTTGGAGACCAATAACCTCCTCAGTGACCTCCAATGTGGTTTCCGAAAAAACCGAAGTACCATTGACCATATGGTGCGTCTGGAATCATTCATCAAAAACTCCATTGTCAACAAACAACATGCAGTATCTATCTTTTTCGACCTAGAAAAAGCATATGATACAACATGGAAACATGGTATCCTAAAAGATTTACACGAGTTTGGATTGAGGGGTAGACTACCGCAATTCATATCTCGGTTTCTAAATAACAGACAATTCCAAGTTCGGGTGGGTTCCACACTGTCTGACTTCCACCAAGATCAGGGCGTCCCCCAAGGCAGCATCCTGTCTGTCACACTTTTAGCATCAAAATTAACAGCCTCACTAACGTTCTGAACAGTTGCGTTGATGGGTCGCTTTTCGTCGATGACTTCAATATTTCATGTCGTGGTAAGAACATGCACGCAATAGAAAGGCAGCTACAACTCTGCCTTAACAAAATCCAAAAATGGGCCAATGAAAATGGTTTTAGGTTTTCAAAATCCAAAACAAATTGTATTCACTTTTGTCGTAAATACAAACCACACAAGGATCCAGACCTAACTTTAGATGGTACTCCCATCAAAGTAGTAGAAGAGGCCAAATTCCTTGGACTCATATTCGACCGCCACCTGACATTCTTACCACACATAAAATATTTGAAAACAAAGTGCTTGAAGGCTTTAGACCTGCTAAAAGTAGTTTCAAATACAGAGTGGGGAGGGATCAGACCACCCTCCTTCACTTGTACAGATCATTAGTCCGCAGTAAACTAGATTATGGCTCCATTGTCTACGGTGGAGCCTGCAAGAGCAATTTAGAAAAATTAGACTCTATCCACCATCAAGGACTGAGGCTCTGCCTGGGAGCTTTTAGAACCTCTCCGGTAGACAGTCTATATGCAGAGGCCAATGAACCTTCCCTTGAACAACGTCGCATTAAACTCTCACTGCAGTATATCACTAAATTACGTTCAAATGAGCCCAATCCAGCATACAATTGTGTTTTCAACCCGCTCTATGAAAACTTATTTCCTAAACTGCCAAGCCTGGTTCCACCACTTGGAATCAGGATCAAACCACACATATCTGCAGCTATAATTGATCTCGACATCATTGCACCATACCGACTTCTGTCCTCACCACCCTGGCAAATGGTGAAACCACAGGTCGATCTTACCCTCACCAAACTCAAAAAGTCTGAAACAAATCCCTTGGTGTTCCAACAGGAATACAACCAGTTACGTTCTAAGTATAACACTCACAGATCCATTTTCACAGACGGATCCAAGGACGATGGCCAAGTTGCCAGCGCTACAGTCATTGGAGCCAAGACTGTCTCCTCTAGGATCCCCGACAACAGTTCCATTTTCACCGCTGAAGCCAAAGCTATCTTCTCAGCTTTGACCTACATTCAACAGCAAAATCAGTCCAAAACTTCATCATATTTACAGATTCATTAGCCTGCCTTCAAGCACTTCTAAACGTGACTTCAAGTCACCCAATCATCCTGGACATATTAGAACTGTACAACGACCTTTCTACTAGCCAATATGACATCATCCTCTGCTGGTTGCCGGGTCACGTCGGCATAGCAGGTAACACTAAGGCCGATGCTGCAGCAAAAGCAGCTCTCGAAAAGCCCCTATCTCCACTGCTAATCCCGTACAGTGACTTCAAACCCACTATCAAAAGCTATACTCGGGACCTGATGCAAAAGGTGGGGACACTCAAGTAGGAAGAAACAAACTCCATGAATTGAAGCCAACAATCGGTTATACCTACTTGGGTTGTCAGTCAAGACGCGATGAGGTAATTTTACGACGATGTCGTATTGGCCACAGTCGATTTACACATGACTATCTGCTGAAAACGGATGGGGATGGACCCCCCATGTGTGTCTCTTGCGATGAGGTGTTCACCGTCAAGCATATTCTGCTTGAATGCGTGGACTTATCGCCTGCAAGGGACTCACATTATGATGCAACAAACCTAAAAGATCTGTTCTCACGCGTGAGCGCCCATCTGATACTGAACTACCTGAGGGAAGTTGATCTGTATCATAAACTGTAACTGTGAAATGTAACAACCATAAATTGTAACTATGAAATGTAACAAACCGCCTGCCTATAAATTTGATGCTATGATTTTTTTTCTGCTTTCGAATGACAATGCAATAAATAAATGTCTCTGAAATAAAACTCATTCCGAGTATGTACTTACAATATTTACTAATGCAAACTTGTTCTCGTCACTATATGGCTGGAAAAATGCCGATGTGACGTAAAGCTCAACTCAACTCAACTCAACCCCCGTGTCCAAGTACACAATAAACCACCACAAATGGTTCGTCACTCTGGTATCATTCTGCTCACAGATCATCTTCTGCTACTCCCTGTACTCCTACCGACCCCCTAACTATGGTGACTACATCTACCCTACCTGGGCCACTGGACTTGGATGGATGATATCCTTTGCTTCAATCTTACCTTTGCCTGTTGTCTTCATCTGGACGGTGTACAAAACAGAGGGACATACAGTCAAAGAGGTAAGGTCATCGTATACATTTGAACCAAGTTAATTATAGTGATTTTGTTCCGAAAAATATTCCGATAAGATAATTACATGTTTAATGGCATGTTAACACCAATTGATTCCCCAGGGTATATGACTTGATCTCGTGTACAAAAGAGTCATGTCAAAGGCTATATATTGTCTGGGCTGCTTGTGTTGTTTCTTAATATATAAGTGGAGTGAGTTTAGTTTTACGCCGCACCTTGTAGCAATGTCCCAGCAATATCACTGGTGGGTGTGTGTGGGGGGGAGGGGGGAGGAACCGAACTAGGGTCTTCGAGTAGCGCCCATGGTCCCTAGTATGGTGATCTACCTTCAGGTGTTGACGATCTATAGCCTGGTTTTGTATTGTAATGTTCACTTTATAAATATCGTTTTGTGATAACATGCTAGTTTTACTTGAATATCTGTGATACACTGGTAGTTTTAGTGTTCTTCGTCAACAGGCTTTTAATTTCGGCTTTTATGTTTCTCTAATACAATTGATCTTGTCACAATATGGCTGCAATATTGCCGATGTGACAATAAATATTAACTCACTCTTCGAGTGGCGAGCGATTGCTTTAACTACCCCACCGGTCCTCTTAACATATAAGACCAGATGCTACAATGTGTAACAAATAGTTCTTTTTATTTCTTTGTTTCTAGAAATTAAAGAATTCGATGGAACCCGGCACACACTGGAGGCTGTCTTCATCATTTGCAGTGACCTCTGAAACCGCAGTTGACACACGAATTTAAACCAATTCAAAGTCATTAATACGATTCAATATCTAGATAATGGGTTTGGCGATTTTCACAGTTGAGACACACAACAACGTAAAATGCTTTAGAGACATGAATCGTCACAAGGTAGAAAATGCATATAGATCAAACATAACTGACAAATATATAGTTGCAAAACCTTGAATATGTGAATCACTAGGAATAATAGGTTTATTACCATTTATGATGTATCTGATTAGTGATATATTTGTTAGACGATAGTGTTTAAACCATTTAATTGAGATACATTGAAACAGTGCAAAACAAGTCTAAATGATTGCTATAAAGCATTAATGAAATCTTGTAATTTTGTACATAATAAACTATTTGCCACAACCAATCATTTTACTTTGTTCATAGAATGAATACCTTTGAATGAATGAGTGGGTGAGGAGTGAGTCTGTTAACGTGAATGAGTTAAAGTTTATAGTCACAGCGGCAGTATTTCAGCCATATCGTGACTTTTAAATGGTTATAAATTCATGATAAATGCACAAATGTTAAAAACCTGTCGACGAAAGGGCAGTAAAGCCAACTAGTACATCACAGAAATAAGAAATAAAACTAGCATATGTCCCTCAAACAGGATTTCAAATTAGGACAAGGCAAAATAAAAAAGGGCTGAGCATCGCCAACAACTGAAGGTAGATCACCACTCTAGGGACCATGGGGACTTACAGTACTTTGGCTACCTGCATGAACCCCAGCTGGATTTATACCAGCCCTTCAGCCATTGGCAATTGTACTGATATATATAAAACAACAAATACTCTACGAATAAGAAGGTGTGTAGAGGTAAATTTACTTGGAAAGTTTTGGGAGTTACGCACGCTCTCGGAAGGACAATCATCTTACAGTACTTTCAAATAACGCCCTTCATGGAGAATACCTTTGAAGATATCCAAGGAAACTGTGCAATGAAAACTGTTTCTTTTAATTTTCAGAAATGAAAAAGAAACGACAAAACACTTTCCACAACCGTAAGAAATCTTTGCTACAGTTCACAACCTTTGAGATACAATTAAACATGCTGTTGAAACGAGAATTTCAATTATTCTTGCTCCGAAGTTGTTTGCATGTTTCTGATGGGTGCCACCGGTGGGGCAAGTACGCTCACCTTTTCGTTTATAATGCGTATTTGCACCTTTTCGTGTATCTTTAATTGATAGTGATTCACATACACGAACATCGTATCTCATGACGTTAATCACAGGATTATCTGGTCCGGCTTATCTACAGACCACCGTCATACAGAGATAACATAGTTGTGTGCGGCGTTAAATAGGCACACACATATTCGTTATGCAGCTGGAATTTGTGTAACGCCGTTCTTGGTTATATGTCTGAAAATATTTACATAACTGAGTCTGGAACTATAATTGCTGTGATCACCCTTCTGAACAGCAGTTTACTTCGTTGCATCAATGACCAATCACAGCATCTGTGCCCTCTTATGCTCATATTGAAGGCTGTGCATGTAGCATTGGACGTCGTCATTAAATCTGCAGTATTGTCTGCCAGATTGTGTTTTCTTCGTGTTTGGGAAGAGATGAAGATGTTGCAATACCTTCAGATGGTGGAGATTTTGACAAATTCTGCCATGAATATAAAGAACCCTTTTTTACGATTAATAACACGGTACGAATAAACATACTTTCAATAATCTGGTACTTGGAGACCAATAACCTCCTTAATGACCTCCAATGTGGTTTCCGAAAAAAACGAAGTACCATTGACCATCTGGTACGTCTGGAATCTTTCATCAAACATTCCATTGTCAACAAACAACATACTGTATCTATCTTCTTCGATTTAGAAAAGGCATACGATACAACGTGGAAACATGGTATCTTAAAAGATTTACATGAATTTAGATTGAGGGGTAGATTACCTCAGTTCATATCTCAGTTTTTAAACAACAGACAATTTCAAGTACGGGTAGGTTCCACATTGTCTGATTATTTCCACCAAGATCAGGGCGTCCCTCAAGGCAGCATCCTGTCTGTCACCCTTTTTAGCATCAAAATTAACAGCCTCACTAACGTCCTGAACAGTTGTGTAGATGGGTCCCTTTTCGTGGACGATTTCAATATTTCATGCCGTGGTAAGAACATGCAAGCAATAGAAAGGCAGCTACAACTCTGCCTTAACAAAATCCAAAAATGGGCCAATGAAAATGGTTTTAAGTTTTCAAAATCCAAAATAAATTGTATTCACTTTTGTCGTAAATACAGACCACACAGGGATGCAGACGTATCTTTGAATGGTACTCCCATCAAAGTAGTAGAAGAGGCCAAATTCCTGGGACTCATATTCGACCGCCACCTGACATTCTTACCAGACATAAAATATTTGTTTATGGTGGAGCCTGCAAAAGCAATTTAGAAAAATTTGATTCTATCCACCACCAAGGCCTGAGGCTCTGCCTGGGAGCTTTTAGGACCTCTCCGGTAGACAGTCTATATGCAGAGGCTAGCGAACCTTCCCTTGAACAACGCCGCATTAAACTTTCACTGCAGTATATCACTAAACTACGTTCAAATCAGTCCAAGCCAGCATACAATTGTGTTTTCAACCCTCTCTATGAAAACTTGTTTCCTAAACTGCCAAGCCTGGTTCCACCACTTGGAATCAGAATTCAACCACACATAACTGCAGCTAAAATTGACCTCAATAGCATAGCACCCTACCGACTCCTGTCTTCACCACCCTGGCAGATGGTGAAACCACAGGTCGATCTTACCCTCACTAAACTCAAAAAGTCTGAAACAAATCCCTTGGTGTTCCAGCAGGAATACATCCAGTTACGTTGCAAATATGATACCCATAGATCCATTTTCACAGACGGATCCAAGGATGAGGGCCAAGTTGCCAGTGCTACAGTCATTGGATCTAAGACTGTCTCCTCTAGGATTCCCGACAACAGTTCCATTTTTCCTGCCGAGGCCAAAGCTATCTTTTAAGCTTTGACCTATATTAAACAGCAGAATCATTCCAAAAACTTCATTGTTTTCACAGATTCATTATCTTGCCTTCAAGCACTTCAAAATATTATTTCAAGTCACCCAACCATTCTGGACATTTTGAACTTTACAACGACCTCTCTACTGGCCAATGTGGCATCGTCCTCTGCTGGTTGCCGGGTCACGTCGGCATAGCAGGTAACACAAAAGCCGATGCTGTAGCAAAAGCAGCTCTTGACAAGCCCTTATCTTCACTGCTGATCCCGTACAGTGATTTCAAACCCACTATCAAAAGCTATACTCGGGACCTCATGCAAAAAAGATGGGACACTCAAGTAGGAAGAAATACACTGTATGAATTGAAGCCAACAATTGGTTATACCTACTTGGGTTGTCAGTCAAGACGCGATGAGGTAATTTTACGACGATGTCGTATTGACCACAGTCGGTTTACTCAAGACTATCTGCTGAAAACGGATGGGGATGGAGCCCCCATGTGTGTCTCTGCGATGAGGTCTTCACCATCAAGCATATCCTGCTTGAATGCATGGACTTATCGTCTGCAAGGGACTCACATGATGATGCAACAAATCTGAAAGATCTGTTCTCCCGCGTGAGCGCTCATCTTATACTGAACTTGTTTATTGTTTAACGCCGCACTCAGTAATATTCCATCTTTTTGGCGGTTGTCAGAACTGGGTATTCTTTAGCAATGAGTTTATATATTCCAGCATGCTTGATATGAACATCTACACATGCAGTGCATAATATAGAAATGTGGATAAAGCCATTGTTCTATACTAATCTATTTGATAATAATGGCAACAGATGTAAAAGGGTCTTGCTTTCACGTAAATGCACATTAATGCATCTGTCATTGCGATTGTATTCAATGTATTTACTCAGCTGGAAATTTGTTTTGATCGAATTTGTCTGCAGTAAAAAACCAAACGTCACAGCTGTGTGGTGCTGTTGTCAGACCATGCATCTAGCTTTACGAATCAACACTGGATATTTATGTTTGGACATATTTACCTTGAATACATGAAATCGTAAAATTACATACGTAAAATAACGTTTAAACTTCCAAAAGTAATTATGACAAGGACTCGAAATCTTAATTGATGTTAATAGAACCGTCAAAAGCCTTTCCATACATACATTGTTTAAGCCTCGAATCGCTATCGGTAGATATTTTAAACTGATTGTCTTCTGTTTCGGATTTAGAAAATATTTCAACCATCCTTGGACAAATGTACATTCAGTGGAATATGTGATAATACACGTCGATTATAGATTTACAATTTATAAATGTATCGATACAGTTTACGGGAAATGCCTTTTACCACCCTGTTGGTGATAACACATTGAAAACTGGATAAACGTGTTCATGAGTATGTGACACGTCATACGTTCCAAGCGCATAGAATCATGCTTATATTAATAAACTTTTTTAGAGGATATGAAGTGATTTTAAGTGTCTTAACTATGGTGAAGAATTTGTCATGTCGGTTTAAATTGCCTTGTTTAGGATCTTGAGTCCCCTTTAGCAGCACATGCACTACAAGTGAGTGAGTGAGTTTAGTTTTCAAGCTATATGGCGGCGGTCTGTAAATAATTGAGTCTGGACCAGACAATCCAGGGAGCAACAGCATGAGCATCGATCTGCGCAATTGGGAACCGATGACATGTGTCAACGAGCCTGACCACCAGTTTCCGTTAGTCGCCTCTTACGACAAGCATGGGTTATGGAAGATCAATATTCTATTCCGGACATTCATGGGTATGCACAACTAGTAAAGACGATGGGCCAGTTGAATGCATATCGGGATAGGTAGGTCAGTTCGTTTTGTTGAAAGAACAAACCGAAAAGGACAAAACAGATTTGTAATATGCCTGTCCCAGCCTATACACGAATAGCTTTCCCCACTGCCATGCACTGTCACATGAATTGTTTGATCTCATGTGATCTCGAATCATTAAGTCGGTTAGCATTACCTTCTGGCGGATTATGTTCACTCAAGTCGAAACTGACTGTTCACCGGAAATACATCCACAAAGGTATTGCTGTGAAACCAACATACAACAAAGCATTGTGATATTGTTAACAATTGTATTCTAACTATTATAAATAGCTTCAAAGGTATCAGAATGGTATTACAAAAATATAATTGCGGTACAAATTCAGTCAGTATAATTACCAAACAGTGATAACAGTAATTTGACACAGATGGTAATGTTCACCACAGTGTAACCATGGTCAAGTTTCGAAAATAGGGTGAGTATCCACAGACTGTTTTCTTCACAATTGCTGGTTTTCTTGTAACTTGAGATAAACGTGAGATTAGAGGCAAGAGTGAGCTCCACGATATACCTAATGTAATGACTCTAGAAAATTCCCTGGGTCGTAATATACATAAAAGGCCGATAGGGTTGCAGTACCCTGCAGTACCCTTAAGAATAAATATCTGACTATCCACACATAAATGTATTACACTTGGAACAAACTACACAGTGAATAACATCTCGTGCAGACTATCTAAATCTTAAGCTCTGCAGCGAGTTCCCACAATAAGCACCCCCGATTTTTTCGACCGGTCGAAGATCATCGTCACTCGCACCTTGTTTGAAATATGAAAGAAAAGTAGACGCTTTCTTGAATCAAAATGTCCAATCGTGTATTGTCTGATCGTGATTCGAATAGTTGTCACTTAGCTTGAATGCTACCGAGTGCAGCTTAAAACAACAAGCATAAAAACGTCAAAAGAATGGCTTTGGTCAAATTCAGCCAAATATATGAAGGAAGGTTGATGTTTATACAATTGAATCTATCATGTACATAACGTTCTATTCTTGCCATGTATGTGCTCATACTGCCCATAGCGTAAAGTATCTGCATGTAAGAAAATATTTACCTGCAAGAAACTGAACCCCCTCTACCACCTCTAATCTGAGATGCCCCCATAATTCGCATCCACAAAGAAGAATGGATGTATATTTTGAATGAAATATGTCTAAAAATATTACGAGTGAAACCTTTTAACATGACCAAAATATATGATACTGCTCTTGTTAAATGTAAAGATGGATCTGTCAATAGTCCAAGGTACTTATACTCTGAAACGTCTACAATTTCGTTACGATGACACCATTTGATATACTGTTTAGACTACTCCCTTTACGAAAAACAATTACTGTTGTTCGTAAGGTTGATATTAAACCACTTTGCTGACAAATAGGCATCTTACTCGATCACAAAAAATATAACATCATCAGCAAACATTAGTTTAAACAGTTCATGTAAATCAGAGAATAATTGTCCTCATCTCGTGAATGTCAGCAGCCATCATATTAATAAAAAAGATTAAATAATATTGGGCTTAAAACACAACCCTGTTTTACTCCAGAGGGAAACGAAACACTAATTAAAACCAGCGTTGCACTGTATACATACAGTTACAGACGAATACATAGGCTAATTCATATTCAACATTTTAATTGGTAGACCACATTGTTGGAAAACATGCATAAGTATATTTGCATCTACAGAAAAGAACAAACGTTGTTTTTTACTACGTTTGCTCAAATAGTTTTGTAGGCAAGTTGGAAGTGTGAACAATTTGCCTGTTGTTGCATATCCAGGCCTTTTTAAAATCGTTTGTTCTTTGTATGTTAAGTTATTATTTTCTGCCCTTGTGTTGAATATACAGTTAATCATTGTTGCAAATATATTTCTGAATATCCTTTTTACAATTACCCCCTTCTAGTTATTAGGATCATCTTGAGGGTCATATTTGTAGGAAATCACTATACGTATTATACTATTACGTGAAAATCCGCATGAATAATATATATCCAATGAATAATAACGTGCATGCAAGGCATAAAGTTCACATAACTTGTGGTCTACCATTACGAATGATTTTATACCAATCAATATATCTTGTTCTGTAATCTTTGACTCTTACTCATGGTGGATTTCTGTTTGATCGAAAGAACTAGAATATGAAACACAAAGTTAAAATATTCGTACAAAATATGTGAACTTTAACTTTGTATATCTTTAAATGCTTCAAAAACCATTTACTGTCATCAAACGACCTCTCTAAGATATGGATCTCCTCTTTCGTAAACGAAGAACGCTTGTATCATGTGACTATCTATTACAAAGCTGCTTAAATGTTAATATGGACTTTTAGAGTTTCTGTAGCGTTTACGGGTCACAAGCTTACTATAGTCCCATTCTGTATCATACCACTTACCTGTGATGTATTACGTAGTAGTCTTTAACATAGACGTTGACGCTACCTCAATGTGGTAGAATAACGATTGAGAGATTGCTTTTATAAATCCACCAGGGAGACGGGTGATAGTTTTTACATTACAACAGAACCCTTGCTTCCCACCTGTCATCGACGGTCACCAATGACAATGTCAAATTTCACCATGTATCCAAGAAGCAGACAACAGGGGCTTTACACTACAGCAGATCTGATTCGGATACCTATCGCTACTTACGGTATGTCAGGACCTTATTCGGAGATCAACATTACCAAACTGTACAAAGGGTCACTATCTTTGGTTAAAAGACGAATAGTAGTTTATGATTGTCTGATTTTATTTACACAAAATACAGAACCAAGAACCTGGCTATATATCTTGAGCGGAATTGTGGTTACAAATGACCAAGTAGGGCTTAACATGAAACGTCGTGTGGGTTTAGTTAGGCTTATTTAAAATTGTAAGTTAGGCAAATGACTGGGACGGTTGCCCTCAACCAACAGATTCCCTTCATGAACCATGAACTCTTATGACTAACAATCGGGAGGTAGAGACAAGGTAGTGTTCGAGATGTCCATGATTTATCTTCTGTATAACACATGAAAACTGATCAACAAGGCAAAATGATCTAATGTGACGTTTTCTTGTAGGGACGCTTTGACTCTAGCAGCCGTGATTACACTGACATCTGTATACGTCGGGTTTGCCTTCTTTGCTATCATGGGTCACGTTGCTCATCTGCGTGGTGTGACTGTAGATTCGTTCCAATACTCAGGTATTTCCTTGATTTCCTTGTTTCCAGTTATTTTATTCATTGATCGTTTCTAAATATACTGCGATGAATACGAATGAGGCAACACCAAAGCAGTATGTTGATGGAAATCGCCTGTGTCCTTGTTTATTTCTTGATACAATGCACGACCATTTATAGGAAATTAAAATGTCACCAACTGTCTCGTTGATGATCTACCACAGCTCAAACACGTTTGACAACATCAGCGCCATTTAAACATATGTACCAGTTCAAATTACTTCGTTTCACACATCAGCCGCTAGTGGACAATCATAAAAGCAAGACAATTTCCATGTGTTTCGGTAGCATCTGGATAGTATATATCTGTCAGCATTAATACGAGGTAAAACCGCCGAGGGGAAATGTATGTATGAACATCAACGTCCTCCGTTTTGATGAATGGAATTGTGTTTTAATTAAAACAGGATACAACCTTGGATTCATCGCATATCCAGAAGCCGTGGTGTCACTCCCCTTGCCTCAGTTGTGGTCGGTCTTGACCTTCTTAAATTTGCTAACACTAGGACTCGACTCTCTGGTAACGTATAGGTCCGAAATTAATAGCTTAATTCAAGAAAGAAGTAAATAAGTAAAAACCATTAGAAGAAAAAGGTTCTCCTCAGATTTCATTTTCATTGTCAGTTTATGCCTTGGACATATGCCAAGAGGCTTATTTCAGACGTTTTATGAGTCATTTTTTTTTAAAGCATGAATATAAGCAAGTATTGATTCCAAGCTGTACCAGTAGATGTAGACAAAGCGTTGCAAAATGCGCGCAGCTGTCATCGCTGATCAAAGATTTCCTGATATATAAAACATTCTAATGAACTTGGCAATAAAAACATGTTTTTCTCATTCTCATAATGTTGGTAATGATATGAAGTCCAAACCTGCATGTACAATACAGTAACGCGATAAGTGTGAGAAATTTCATCAAGTCCAGCAAGTTTCAGAACTTTACTTTTAAACTTCACAATGATATTCAAATTTTGATATATGCAGACGCTCCAAGTGGCCCATACTTAATGTCTTGCTTCAAACAATAAATCTCACAGGCATGAGACGTTCAAGTTTTTACGTACATGTCGATTAGATATCCATCTTTAAAATCGAAGAAACTGGATATACGACTAGATGGTGGTTGCTGTGTTAAGAATACTACCAAAATAATATATATATAATCGATATATAAGTTGGAAACCCATTTCCATACAGTTGCCATGCTATGAGATCGCAGTAACAGCATTATTAGATAAGTTTCCAAGCCTAGCACGCCGACGTTGGGTGATCATCCTGATGATCCTGGTGCCATGTCTCCTACTCAGTCTTCTCTACATGACCCAGGTATATATCACGAACAGTCCAAAAATACTTAAGAGTGTACAGAGAAATGCAACAAGAATTCATGAGGTGTGATATCTAACTTTCACAATATTAGAAAAACAAATCCCTCTCAACGTCAACAAATCAGTTGATTGTACAAATCCTTCTAAAATATGAGTGTTTGTCTGCTTAACGCCTCACTCGCCTGATAAAAACACAAACTCTATAATGTTGAAACTGTTTTATGACAGGGGGGAATGTACATGCTTACACTGGTGGACTGGTATGCGTTCTTCCCCTCAGTAGCAGTTTTTGGCATGTTGGAATGCGTTGTGGTCAGCTGGATCTATGGTAAGCATCTTGTTACTAACTAAAAATGAGCCTCAATTAAAATGAACACATACAGAGAATAACTCTAAACGACAATATTCCTTCGGTGCCCAAGGAATCAACTGAATAAGAGATCGTTTTGAGCTGCCTCATATAGGATATTGCAGGTTATGAGATTATGCACTCTGCCGATATCCGTGTACTTTCAGAGTCGGTTATTTGTTTTAAGACTGCAGAGAGTCATCAAATTAATGTGCGGGAAGACTGTCCCAAGGGTCATGACCTTCAGCCTGAAGTTCATCAGCCCAGGATTCCTTCTGGTAAGTGGCCCATCTAGATGTTTCAAAGTTTATGTCGCTGTGTGAATGTCATTGTTGGCGAGTCTATATGTTGTAGGGATGGAGTGTTTCCATGTTGTTGTGAGATGATAAGTCCATGTATGTATACATAGAAATGCATTTCTCGACTACACTGGTTGAGTTGCGTGTGTTCCCTTTAGCCTTCATTTCAAAGTGCACAACACACCACCACAAATATTTCGTCATACCCGGAATCATCCTTCTTACAGACCATCTTCTGCTACTCCCTGTACTCTTACCGACCCCCTAACTACGGAGACTACATCTACCCTACATGGGCCACGGGACTTGGATGGATGATATCTTTTGGTTCACTCTTACCATTGCCTGTTGTCTTCTTCTGCATGGTGTACAAAACAGAAGGAAATACAATCAGAGAGGTAACGCCATTGAGAGCCGTGTATAGAGAGACTTGTTGAAAACAGTAACCGGGCTTAAATGCTCACATGTAATACTTACATGCTTGATTTCAGGACATGTCAACACCAAGTTGTTTCCCAATTGCCTATGACTGACTTAACTTTACCGGATGTCAAAAGGGGTCCAGGCTAATATCTCTTTTCCTGGTGAAATATCCACCGGTCTATTACTCCTGGCAAATTACAACCCGGTCCCCCACATTTGAAAGTGTCATACGTTATTATAATACCATAAATGTAATAATATCTATTATATTAATAATATGATAATCAGCTATATGCCTCATTTTGTCCTATCTTGTTTGGGCTACTGGTAACATCTTTTATGCTCTAATTTGGCTGGTTTGTTAATGCTTTTTGTGCATTTCGTTGTTCATATTCTAGTTATTGTCGTCGGGTAAATTGTGATATACTAACCTCACGGACGACAGAAACGTGGCCTCGCTTTTTTAACATGTCACAAAACAAGAAACTCAGATTTAGGAAATTTAACAATCATATGTGGAAAATTAATGGATTAACAACATTCCGAATGATGAAAGTGTGAACCACAGATATGAATAATCACTAAGTGTACGATAAAAGATATTTAAAAAAATCATTTTGGTGACGTTTCTTTCGTCCGTGAGTTTACATTTCCTTTTCTTTCCTTTTTCTCCAGAAAATACAGAAGTCGCTGGAACCTAACATACACTGGGGATTATCTTCGTCATCTGAAAACACCACGGAATTGATGCTATAGTTCCAACTCATTTTATACCCCTTTCGTATAAAGGGCACATCGCATTTTGGTGTTGTTGTTTTTTATTACAGTTGCTGGGAAATAGTATTTCCGTAGTTGCCATATTGAGAAAAGCCTGTAATATATTATCCATTAAAACAATAATATTGCACAACAACAATAATTTCAATGCTGATCGCACAGTTACGTTACGCAGTATTTATATTAGTGGTTATTTAGTGGTCATGAATTGCAGTATGCAGAGGCTACATGTTTTCACGACGGCATGGGAGGTAAGGGCATGGGTCTGCTACAAAGTTAATGCGCTGCATGATGTGTGATCGTAGGTTCGAATCCCAGATTACTGGTTTATCAACATTATGGCCGTATTTGATTCACCACAAGGGTGACCGCCTGACACACACAGACACACACACACACACACACACACACACACACACACCATGGAATCTCGATGGTTTTTCATTTGCTTGTAGAAGTTCTTCATGTCTATTACCAAGATAGTACCTACTAAAGGGATATTCATTTAAGATGAAATACTCTTGCAAAGATTATGCACTGTCCTTTTCACATTTCAATCATTGTCGTTGATCTCGAAGTCATTATCGGTAACGATATTATTTATCCTTAATCCTCAGCTTAAATGGATGCAAAATTGCTTATGCTTCGTTCATGTCACCCAAACCAAGAAGCCTTGTGCCAAAGAGATCATCAAAACATACAAAGGATATTGTTAGCGTTAACGGCAAGGCTCTGCTCTCATGCATGTGGTAGCTACATTTGATCATCACACTGTTTTCAGAATATTCATAGAATGTTCGTAATTCTTATAGATCGAGCTACTTCGAACATCCTCTGGTATTTCGAAAACAATGTACAATGGTTACTTGAGGGCGTTTTTCTCTGTTTCAAAGGATATGCTTGAGGCTGGCTACCTATAATGGGTGTTTTCATAAGTTTCATTGATCTTCAGTGCAAGCAGTCATGCGTCCCATAGATCACATGAACATACAAAGCATATCTATAAATTTGAAAGCGTATACACTGAGCATATACATGTTGTAAACAAATTAATTTGTATTCAGCTGATCAGAAAACAATATGTGATTGCTGTTAAGTGGCAAGTGACTATTTTACGAGTGCTCCTACTACTTTTCAACACGGGTTTTCTGACCATCCTTTGGCCATGTTAAACAATAACACTTTTTTTTCTGACACTTTTTAGCAATTTTCCTATCATGTCACGGTTACGTGTAAACAGGCCTCTCAATGTAACGGCGTACCAGAAAATCCAGTGGCACAATCCAGTGCTTGAGCACGATATTGAGCATGGAAAAGTCACTATTGATTTTACTGATAATAATACTTGTTGACTGACTGAGTTTAGTTTTACGCCGCTTTTAGCAATATTCCAGCAATATCACGGCGGGGGACACTAGAAATGGGCTTAACACAACTGATAATAATAAGAAGTTAACTCAAGTGCTCATTTTGATGAACTGATTACATAATTGTAATTTGCGTCTGCTATGAAAAAGTGTAGAGATATAAGTGCTTTTACGTAATCACATGCTAATAGTAATGCAGTTTTACGCCGCTTTTAGCAATATTCCAGCAATATCACGGCGGGTGACACCAGCAATGGACTTCACACATTGTACCCATGTCTGGAATAAAACCCGGGTCTTCGGCGTGAAAGCTACCCCACCGCGTCTATACATGCTTATAACTTCTAGCTCTGGTTTTGGTAGTGATTTCATATGGTTGTTTTTTGGTAATGTTTTGTCGTCTCTAATTAAGGCTTCGTGCAAATGAACCTATCAATGTAAGGACGTACGAGAAAATCTAGTGCTTTGAGCATGATATTATTATCATTATCAACAACGCATTTGCTAATTTTGTTGACACTAAGAATGATAATTGTGATTTGCATCTGCTGTGAACAAGTGTATAGTTTTTACTGCTTACATAGTGACACACATACCTCTGTTTCTGGTAGGTATTTCTTATGACTATGGTAATGATTTTGTTGTCTCTTTTAACATTAATCTCAATGACATGTACCTTCGTATTTAATACGAACCATATTCTTAGTTTAAAGATTGTTTAACAGATAAGTGAAAAGGCCGTGAAGGGGCTACTGTCGTATCTGCCTGTGGTTTTCCATCCAGTCTAGGTTTGTTTCTCATATGCAGCATGCTTCAATGCTGTGTTATTTAATGTCTTCACCAGATTTGAAAATAGAGGCAGATAAATAGTGGTGTAGTAGTGATATTTTTCAATTGTTGATACCTACCTACGTGACCTTGACAGAGGTGTAGCACGATATTGGTTACAGTGACATCATTAACTACACCAGCTGCATACGAGTCGTCCTAAAACCATCTGATTGTTGACATTGATCATAAATATCCCTGTCATGCAACAAATTCCCTAACGTTATTTACCTCATATTAAACAAAACTGTATAAGATGGTAGATGTTGTGTACGTATGGCAAACCCACTGTACGAGATTAAAGTGCGATTAACAAGTAGGTTGACTACAAGTGACCAGTTATCGGTCAGCAATATACAGAGTAACGTCTTCATGTGGTAACGAACCTACGCATCCTTGTTTACGCAGTACAGGAATGTAACTGCCTTAAGCAAGTGTGTCATTCCTCAACGAGAATGATGTTCGAGTGTAAGTGTATATACTTAAAAGTACACAGCTCTGTACGATGATAATGGTCCCAGAGATAAATAAACGCAGGCCAAATTCATATTATGTCCTTGCTTACAGTTAACGTTTCTTTGAGAGGCATTTTAGAAGTTGTATAGATGAAGGAAAACCAAGTTCTATGGACAGTCAACTTCTTTATTGCAATGAGTGCGACGTTTCGGGGTAGGTACTAAAACTGGTATCACTTGCTTGATAACGGTGGTAGTACCTACACCGAACCGTCGCACTCATTGCAATACAGAAGTTGACTATCCATAGAACTTGGTTTTCCTACAGTGAACGTTCATTGTATCCCATGCCATACAATAAATAATGTTGTAAACAGCTTTCCTCAAATGATAGTCCTTAAAACTGAGGTCCTCCCCATCTGAGCTGTTTTTGCAAATAAACTGTCTTAAACAAAGACTATTAGAACACATTGTATTTAAACATGGATTCGGAGTCGGATTGATGCTCTAAGTGGTTGTTTCATTTCCCTAATCTTAGACGTCTTTGAACGGATATATGAATATTGCTTCTTAGAAATAGGCATCATACCCTCGACACTTCATGTAATGTAAATATTATCATTAGCCTCAGTTTACTTATTGTGGACCCTGTTGAAACCCTTCACCTTACGTTGTGTCAGATTACCTGACATTTGATTCCAGGGTGTAATCAAAGATTGTTTCCCCGAGGATTTGATGTGATGTTGGCGATATATAGCCTGTTTTTATATTACGTGTTGTCCGAATAGTACTATTAGTTTTAATTTTACATGCTAGTGTTAATTCTGTCTATTTGTTTTACTGTGCGATGACGACAGGTTCTATATTGTACACGTATTGCTTATCAATGTCAAATTCGTTCTCGTCACGATATGGCTGAAATATTGTCGATGTGACGTTAAGTATCTACCTTCTCGCTTGGGGTAATGTGAGACGAATAGAGATATATGCTTGCTCTTTTTATGGTCTTATTCTTTGTATACTAGAGGTGAGGTGAAATTGGGTTTTACGTCGTGCTTGAGAATATTTCGCTCGACGACGTGCATGCGTGTGTATGTGTATGTTCGGCTGCTTGTACTAGCCAAGACTG